GTGTGTGTGTTTGTGGTGTGTGTTACCGGTGTTGGGTTGTCCCTGCTGACCCGGTCTGGCTGACTCGGAGCTGTCCTGCGACTGGACCTCGATCAGGTAGGAGGCTTTCTGCTCGCGGTCGAAGGAGGCTCGAGTGACGATGACGCCGCTGCGCGAGTCGATGCTGAAGAACTGCGAGTCCCCGCTCTCGTCCTTCAGGATCACATAGTGGATCTGCACGAGAAGGACAAAGACGCTGTAGTAGAAGAAGCAGAAGTTAACAGATAATAATGTGTAGACGTTCCTCACCATCCCATGCAGACCAGAGTCCAGGTCCGTGGCCGACACCTGAGCCACCGACGTGCCGATCTCCGCTCCTTCGGGCACTGTGGCCTCGTAGGTGGATGACAGGAAGAAAGGAACGTTGTCGTTCACGTCTGAAAGGGAAAGAAATTAAAAACATATTGTTGTTTATTTCTAAATTTATTGCAAACAGTCTGTCGTGTCCCTAAACTGATTAAAAACTGACGGAGAAAACGAGCTGAGATGAGAAACAGAGCAGGTAGGAGGCGAAGAAAAAGCAAAGAAAGACTGAAAACTTTGTGGGTTTTTTGCAACATTTTTCACACCAGAAGAGAGGATTAAAAAGTGAAATGAAGAAACAGAGTCTGTTTTCAGACGTCTGTCAGAGAGTTGGACTGCGTCTCCCCCTCACTAATGAAAACTGAGTTATTAGTGAGGAATTATCCTCCAAACACCGTGAAGAGTCCACAAAGCAGCTTGTCAGCTCGCTTTCAAGCTCCGCTAAGCCAATTACAGTGTCCGATGTGGGTTTGTTCAAAGCCAATCAAAGTCAGGAAGTGTCGTCTCCTCTCTCCCTTCTCCCTCCGCCCGCCTACAGACGCCGATTGGGAAGCGGGTCGCCGTTAAAATAAGGCGGCGCGGAGCTCGAGCTACCAGTCGCTGCTGGTTTTTCTGAGACAGAGACGACCAGGGATTTGAACTACACTTCATTATTCTTCCAGCAGCGTCGCTCATTACAGAGTTTCCCTGAACGCTTCTTTCCCTCCGCTGGTTCAGAGCTGAGCGATGGCTTCATCACGAGGGGAAATGGGATTGGGTTTTAAAATGAGAAGAGCTGTGAAAATAGGAAGAAATGACAGTTTGTGTGCTTTTTGATTTCGTCAACTGCTAATACGGAGATAAAAATATCCACATACACTGTAGGTACAACCCAATTTAATAGTCTCCTACGGTCTTGAACACACCACCACAAAGCAGATTTATCGTTTATCAGAAGGCCGAGAACACAAACGGCGACAGCAACCATCAGCTGACGCTTTGATCCCAAAAGGCAACCTCCAAGCTTCTATTTCTTCCTCTCGGTAATGTTCATGCAGTGTTTTAGGATGGATAGCTCACAGCTAGCCATGTAGTCACACCACATAAATTGACATTCCCAAGAGGAAGAAAGAGAAAGTTTTGATTGATTTAATCTAAGAAATGACGTCACTGTGCCACAATCTGGTTTGTCCTGGCGGTGAAGAAGGTGTAATTTACACAAACACACTCCTTCCCTCGTCTCACCTGTGACGTTGACGTAGACGGTGGTGAACGACGCGAGCGGCACGGCGGCGACGTTCTGGACTCGCACTCTGAGCGCGAAGAAGCGCGTCGTCTCGTAGTCCAGGTTCTCGGCCACCAGGATGGACGCCGAGCTGTCCGCCCGGTTCGGCTTGACGTAGAACCGCACCGGCATGTTGGTCTCCGGCACCTGACCCTCCTCCAGGTTGTAGGTCACCCGGGGGTCACCGAGCGGAGACGTCGCCTTGATGGTCTGATAGGAGACAGACAGAGATAGAGAGAGAGAGTTATGATTGTGTGTCTGATCCAGAGCTCCATGGCGTCTGACGGATTGATTCATCTTCCTGCTCCTGTACATACAAAATAAAACATCAAACAAGATAAAGTTTATTTAAAGATCCTGATTTTGGTTTTCTCATTTCAAAACTGAAACCCACACTGACCTCCGACTAAACCATTTCCATTTCTGGAACAATAACTCCTTCCTTTGAGCTGTCGACGGTGAGGTCGCTAACGGCTTTAACGTAACCCAGATCCATAAACCCCCCGACACAAGTGACACAGTAAGATACACAACCGCGATACAAAGAATGCATCGTTTCAACAGCCGGAGCCGCTCTTCAGTCCTTCTATGGAGGCGAAGCAGCTGAAGAAGAGCGTGCGGCACTTCTTCTGCCGCCAAAAAAGGGTTTGTGGTTTGTTGACGTTCTTTGTGTGAGTTTGCGAGAAACTATGTGTTTTGGACGAGTTTGTGCGTGTGTGTGTAGTCCGGTGCATCCAGCAGCAGCAGAGCTTTTAAGACTGCCGTTATTCTCACGGCTGCAGTTTGAGCTGACCTTAAAGAGAGAGAGAGTGTGTGTGTGTGTGTGTGTGTGTTTGTGTGTGTGTCCTTCCTGACCACACACTCTCAACCTCGCCAGGGAAGGATTGTGTTTTCCACGGCTGACTGAAGCCACCTCACTTTATTGTACTGAGAGAAAGGCTATGACCTGTGTTAGACACACAGAGTCATATTCCACTGATTTAACCCCTTTGACACTCATTTATTCTCACAATCCACCCTATTGTTTCTCATTTATCGTGTATATTGTGCGGATGTACAGTAATTTCTGCCACTAAAATAATTAAAACTGCTAAAAACACTGAAACTGTTTCTCCGACACAAAGAGCTGCTGCTAGCGTCAGCTCAGTTAAGTTATTTTAACTTAATTGTTGAAACTGTTTACATGAAGCATTTCAATTCAATTTCAAAATTAAGTCAGTGTCACTTAAAAATTGAGTTTTACTTAAAATGTTTAATTAACTTCTGGTTTTACTTTGTAATGTAAACTTTAAAAATAACAGAAATGAGCAGGAATGAATGAAATGTTGAGATATAGGCCTACTGTGGATATTTCTTAAGTTTTCTAGTAAAATCGAGAAGACCTCGCGACCCCCTATAAAGCTTTGGTGACCCCTAGTAGAGGTCCCGACCCACAGGTTGGGAACCACAGGTCTAAGACAAGCTTATCACTAAGACTGGAAGCAGGACGACACTAAGCTAAGTTACATTAAAAGAGAAAAAAAAAAAATTCACCTTCCAGCAGCTCTAAACATGGTTTCCACCAGAGGTAACATGTCTCCTCACAGAGACTGAGTGAGAAACGCTGTCTGCCACTTCAAACACCAAAACCCTCTCAGCCCTCTCTCTCCCAGTGACCACGGCAGCTCGAGCGCCCCTCTCTCTCTCCCATGTCTTTACCAGCCACTCAGCGACACACACGGAGGAATACAAAGACACACCAACATCAAAGTCTGTGCACTCTCTGTTGTTCATCCATTAAAAGCTCCAGTGTGAAACACTGAGGAGGAAATATAGAAGTATAACATTCTCAGGTATGTTTTTATTAGTGTATAATCACCTGAATATGAGAATTATTGTGTTTTTGTTACCTTAGAATGTTTTTATGTACCAGATAAACTTAAAAAAATTCACCAGCTTTAACTTCATTTAATGCTGTATAAAGTTGAGGTACACTCTCTCTTTTCCTGTACTTAATATGCTACATTCTAGGCTAAATCTGTGTTAAAAATACAACCACATTTCCATGAGGGTTGAAAATGTGATCTTAAGTAAGCTAATGTTTGCAAAACAGGCTTAGGAGGAGAGAAACCCAAACCAGAGGTCAGTCAATTACTCGCTTCAGATGCATGTAAAATTGTGCTAATCAGAAGTGCTAACAACAGCGTTATAAAATTAGTCGCATTTAAAGAATACAAACACCCCGCTTTCGCTTTTGACCTTAACGCCCCAGCCGACTGCCGACTGTTGCGAAGCTGACGGGATGATCTGTATTCCAGCTGCTGAATCACACTCAGCACCAGCCGACACCAGCTGAGAACGATCTGCTGCGATATCTCCACAGGCGTTAATCTGTGTGGGAGAAGATGGCAGACACTGATCAGCTTAGCCTCAGCACACTGCACTGATGTCTAATGAGATGATTTCTCATTAGTGCTGATTCCATGCGCTCCGCTGCACCGGCCCGCTGCGAGGCAGAGCCACGCTCCGCTTCCTGAAGAGGACCAACGCGTCCTGACACGACTCCTCACCTGGAAACTGGACGGCTACTTTGGAGCCTGCTTGTTATATTTATTCAGAAATGGGGGGCTGCCGACCCTGACTGGGTGTGTTGTAATGCAACAACATGGTGGGTGTTGGATTGTCTGTTTGTGCACCAATAAAAAAGACACAAATCTCCACAGCTATGGCTCACCAAATCAGATTCCCCCACTTTATCCATGAAACTGTCACTGAACAGGGCAATTTATCAAGTTTTATCCACTGGAAAGGTATCTTAGAGGGCATTTTATAAAGTTTTATCCACTGGAAGCGTACTTTATTGTGTTTTATCCATTGGAAGGGTATCTTAGAGGGCACT